GTCCTTAAGGCAGGGGCTCCCTCAGGCAGGAGGCACCTCACCGGAAACCAACCCGAGGACACTGCCCTGGACGGTGAGGAAGCACCTGTCCACTGTCAGGCCCCGGCGGACCCACCCCCCGTCCCCCTCAGGAAGTGGGAGGAACACCCCAGTTGATGGAGCCACCCACACTAAGACATCGCCCGGGTCTGTGTTGACATCATGGGTCAACGCTGCACCACGGCCTCACCCACAGACTTCAGTTAAAACGAAGCAAAAAAACACGGCCCACGGATCTGCTGCGACTGTTTATTGTATTTAGGAGTCTACAAATTTGAGCTTTTAAGAAAGATTCACAAAATATTCATTTGAAATCACATTTTTGGTTCATCAAATTTCAAATGTTTTATGGCTGAACAACATAGCCCAGTGCCTCTACCACACAGCCAGATTGTCTTTATTTATTGATTCACAAACATTCTGTGACTTTTTGAAAACCAAGATTAAGACAAAAAAAATCGTAACAAAGCTATTTCACTACGATGACCGCTGTCTGCCCCCTCGCCTTCTCCAACCGTAATTCTGCCACTGGACTGACTCATAGGCACACGCAGGGGGCTCTCGGCTTTCCCTCCTCATAGATCACACAGCAACACCTCGTCAAAAGACCACATTAACTCCCTTGACAATGTGGAAGCTTAGGTTTGTTAAAAATACTTCCCCGTAGTGCTTTTAACTTTACAGAACATAACAAATAATTTGCAAAGGGACATTATTTTGAAATCACCTCAATATATGAATAAAAACGAACAGTCAATCTGTCAAATCAGACACCAGTCATTTTGGTCTTTCTTTTATTCTCTGCTCCCTTTTCAATGAGATGTGTGCTATGAATTTGTTTCTCCAGGCCAATCCCCGGTCAGCGGACACAGTGCGCGCCCAGCTCCCCGGAGGAAGGCTCAGTCCGGGAGAAGGGGCGGAGGGGACTACAGCCCCACTGCTGGAACTAAAGATTCCTGGAAATTAAAGCGAGGACCCGCTGGGACGTGCCCACAGGGGGCATGCGCAGGACTGGTGCAAATGGAAATTACAATAAGGCTTCTCTCTACATTAAAAATAGGAATTTCTCAAAAAGAAATACTAAAAATCAGAAGTGTATATATACCATGTGAAAAAGTAGCAAAACAATCTTGAAAACTGGTGTGTCTGGTCTTTATCGCAGCCTGAGATGCGGTCACTGGTCCATGAGAAGAGGCAATTTCTCCAGGAAGCGCAGAGCCTGACCTGGGGATCAGGAGCCATAGCGATCCTGGGGAGAACCAAAGCCAGGGTTTGCTCGGGGCTTCCCAACAGCACAGCGCAGCTGATGCGGCTGTTGACCCAGGGCACGAGAGGTGGGGACGGGTGTGTGTGTGTGTGTGGCATCGGCACTGACGCTGCATCCCAAGCACAGGGCAAGACACAGGTTGCTGGGCCGACGCCCAGGACATGGCGAGGGTTTTGGGAACCTGCGGGTGGACGTGCTACAGGGTTCGTCCAGGGCCCATGAGCGTGTGAGGCAGGGGCGTTGGGAAGGTGATGGCCACATGCTGAGCCCTCTGGGGAGGACAGAGGAACACCCACCAGTCTGAAACCCTAAAATTTGGGGCCAGCTGCTGATGGTAGAGAAGTGACTTGCCCTCTGGGCCTCCATCTCTTCACTATAAAACAGTGACATGAAAAGGTGGCGATCTGCACAATGGGGCCACCACCTACCAAATGGGGGTGCTACTCACTAGAAGGGACCCATGTAGGCTCAGCCAACCGAGGAGTGGGAAGCAGCTCTGTGGCTCTGCAGAGAGCCTGGGACAGAGACGCAGTCAGGCAAGGTGACCCCCACAGGGATCCCCACCCTACCCACCACAGCAGCAGCCGCTGGGACTAGGAACCCCCTTGGGGGCACCAGAGACCACTTGGATTCAGTAACCTGCCAGAGCCATGCTTTTTGTTTGTTTTGCGATACTGGGGATTGAACCTGGGGTGCTCCACCACTGACCTGCACCCCCAGCCCTTTGTATTTTTTATGTTGAGACAGGGTCTCACTAAGTTGCTGAGGCTTGCCTTGAACCTGCAATCCTTCTCCCTCAGCCCCTGAGTTGCTGGGATTACAGGCGTGCACCACTGTGCCCAACCAGAGTAGTTTCATGTTAACAGAGTCCTTCTAAAATGATACAAATTAGAAGGTTCCAGAAATAAGCCTTTCACATAATCTGAGATGGCTTTATTTCAGATTCCATCTCTGCTTTATTTAAAAGATTGAAATACAATCTAAATATCCAACATGGGAATAGTAACTAAATTAGATGTTCTAAGGATATAAAATCATAGACTATATAATCCCCTTTTAACTTAATGACTTGCATAGAAATCTGGAACTAAACTATACCAAAATACTAACAGATTTTTTTTCTCTGAGCAGGGGCATTAGTGATGATTTTATAAAAACTTTCTTCTTAATAATTCTCTGTTCCAAACTAGGAGAAAATTAAATGTCATGCCATATCCATGTCATAAGTTAGAGAATTTTAAGCCAATATAGAATTGTGACTTCTGGTTTCCATGAGGCCCTGGGTCACACTGCAGCAAACACACAAAGCAGCAACCCACCACCCACTGCCCTGCGACTGTGCGGGGAGGGGGTCAGAGCATCCCTCACTGACCTGGATGGAAGTCATCACTCCGTTGGCAAACACAGACAGCTTTCCAGCCACGGACCTCACGCCCTGCTTGAACTGCGCCATGTCGGGGGCACTGGGCAGCACGTTGGAGAGGTTGTAATTTCCTGCATACACAGGGCAGATGCCAGTTTGTCCCTCAACCACAGCCAGGACACTAGTGACTTTAGAGGACAAGGGCCGCCCCTCCTGCTTACTCCAAGCAGCTATACAGGAGGGGCCCAGCCACATTCTAGCAGCTGGGAGGAGACACCTGCCCTGGGCACATGCTCTGCTCTTAAGGCTGGTATGGGAAGGGAACATCACCACAGCCACCTAGCATTGGCCGTGGGACCTCAGGGTGCTGGGCAAAGGGTCCACACACGTTCCTGCAGCCAGTGGGCAGGCTCCCAGGCCAGCCAGTGCCTGGATGCTTTGGCTGCCCAGCTGCCCATCACTCATCCTGCCAATGCTCCACCAGGTGCCTCGGAAAAGTGAAGGGACAGTCCTTCCCCAGAGAGCCCTCGGATGTCAGGAGGACAGCGTGGGATGGTCTCGCCCCTGCTGTGAGGCACCTGGGCAGAGCGGGTGGGAGACGGGGGTCCTGGGGTCCTGGAGGAGCCCAGCGTCTTCAGGCCTCCCAGGCTCAGGCGGTAAGTGAAAGAAATGAGGTTGGCAGGAGCCGAGGTGGGTGAGTGGGCAGGGGAGCTGCAGGCCCGCCTGGGGCAGGATTCTAAACAGAGGGCTGAACTGTGCAGGCAGGAGGCCACCGCAGCAGCCCATGGCCATGGCGCAGGCTGGACCATGAGGATTTTTAATGGAACATTATGTACCAATTTCCCTGAAATTGAGACAATCAAGAGAAAAGTATTTCCAAGACTAAAAGAACAACGAATCCAAACAAAGTGCTCTCCACAGATTGCTGCTTCTGAGAAGGGTCAGGGCTGGGATGCACTGAGTCAGTGAGGACTCTGCCTAAGGGACTCAGCCTCCCAGCTGCGATGTCTGACAAATGCTCCGACCAACAGCCAAGCAAGACCTCAGGCCGACTGAGCACAGTGCTCCAGGGCCTCCAGCCATCAAGCCCCACAGGAGAGAGCCAAGGCCTAGACACGAGGGGCAGGCGCTGGGATGAACCGGTCTCCTGTACCCTGGGAGAGCGCCAGCTCTAACCCTGAGCCACCCCCAGCGCCCTACAACTGGTTTTCTTGGAACAAGTATTCTGAGAAGGGCGGGTGGGGCTCCCAGCCACTTTGTTCTCACATGGCTCTCAAGTTACCTGCACTCTGTCACCTGGGCTCTGAGCTCCCCTCTCCCAGGCAGGGCCCAGTCCATGGCAATCCATGTCCCCACTGGCCCTGCTCCCTGGGAGTGACCACAGGCACTGCAGGAGCAGGCTGGCCAAGGGTGCTGACACGCATTTCCCACTCAGCCCTTCCACCCCTGAAGGGGACAGCTGCCAGAAGTCTTGGTGCTCCTGGTGGGGACACAGTGGGGGAGTTACTTCACAGGCAGGAGTCTCAACTGGAACTACCTTCCCCTTCTCCCCAGGTTAAATCACGAGGCCCTCAGTTCACCCATACTCCACACACAGGGCAAGCGCCTGAAGCTAAGGAACACAGGACCATTTCTCAAAACCAGCGTTTGCTCTGCTGAATGCTCTCTAAGTAAAAAGTCAATGTTTCCAGAAAACCACGGAATGTGCTGGAGTCCAGGGGGAACCTGGAAGTGCAGGAGGGTGGCCCCAGGTCTGCATCACCTGCCTCCGAATGGGGGAAAGCCTAATAGAGACCACCTGCCTGGGCCAAGTCTAGGGTGGTGGCGCCCCAGGGTGCACCTTACAATGATCTTGAATTGTTATGGACGGTTGTCTGACACAGGTCAAAGAAATCAATGAACCTTTGTTTTCTTACAGGGACAGGATGCAGACAGGGGCTGCCTCAGTCCTCCCGCAGCAACAAGCAGGCCACTGCCATTTGACCTCCAAGAATTTAAAAACAAACAAACAAACAAAAAAACATTTTTTTTTTACATTTTTAGAAGTAAACCTCCCAGCAACTTGAATTAGGAAACCATCCACGGCTGGGGTGCTTCTATAACCCAGGTATCTGGCCTGAGAAGACCGGCGGTGCCAGGACCCGGCGCGTGCCCCGGAGCTGACCTGAGTGGGCCCTGGGGTAGGTCTGCTGGGAGCGGCCCACGCGCCAGGCTGGTGGAAAGAGGAAGTTGCCTGACAAAGGCCAGGATCCTGAAAGTTCAGAGCACATGGCCCAGGGCCACCCCTGCCCCAGCAGACCTGAGGCTGGGAAACGCTGGTCAGACGGAGATTGAGCAAGACCAACAGCCCCCTCGCTTGAGGTCAGAGGTGAGGCACAGGGAGCCGTGGCCCTGGCTGCCCTGCCACAGTCTAGCAAAAGTCGAGGTGCGGGGCCTGCCCACTCTGGCACAGTGCCTACCTGCCCCCTGTCACCCTGCCAGCCACACACCTGGAGAGAATGCTCTTCCCTGCACAACACATTGATCTATCTGGTGGTGCCCGCTGTACCCCAAGGCACAGTGGGTCTCTAACATGCTCTAAGCCGCATCACAGAAGGCCCTGGACACTGGCAGTCTGTGCTATGGCCTTCTATGTCACTTCTCCATGGCTGGAAGCCACTGAGTCACTCAGTCACCCCTGCAGAGACCCATGACCTTCCTCTGCAGCACACCCAGCTCCCTACGGGTGCCGGGCCTGGAAAGCTCGCTGCTGGGGTCCCCGCCCCTCAGCTCTCTTGCTGAGGAGGGGTTCCTAAAGTGACCTCAGAGGACACTGCCCTTCCACGTCAACCACACAGCCTCCCCTCACACCTGTGGCCCAGGAAGCCCATGGCCATGCACCAGGCCCTTCTGCAGCTCGGGGTGTGGAGCAGAAGCCGGAAGACAGGGCTCTGGGCAGTCCCCAAGTGGCTGCACTGAAGCTCACACCTGCGCTCTCAGGCCACCCCCTCCCAACCCAGCCCCCAGCCCTGGGATGAAAGGACACCTGGCGCTGGGGTCCCACCCTGAGGCAAGATAGCATAGACAGACACTTCTTCACCTGCCGGTCCCTGGATGTTTGACCTTCCTGGGGGATCCCTGTTCTTATGGGCTGCCACCCACCCCTGGGGGCTGAGGCCCATGAGGCACCTGCTGTGAGTCAGACCCGATTGGGTGGCACCGAACACACAGCATCCATCTAAGCTTCGCTGCGACCTTGAGGCAGGCCTTGTGCGTCAGCTGGCGGGAGCCCCATGTCCCCAGGGCCAGCACCCTGTGGCGTCTGCACACCCACATGTGCCAGAAGACACCAGTTCACCACACGTGCTAGGAGACAGCCTGCCAGGTGCTGTGTGCGCCGCTGCTTAAGTTTCACGATGTGGCCTCCCCAAGAGTGACCCCAGAACAGTAGCCTCCACTTGCCCGGCTTCACAGGACACAGGAGGCGGAGGACGCTTGCTCAAGTATTTTGGGACAACAAAACCCCCAAGGAAACATGATGTGCCCGTGCGGTGGACGCAAGCCACAAGCCGTGTCCGTCAGCCTCTCACCTGCCGTCTGCTTCCTCTGCTCCTCAAACAGGTCAGCGGAACTTATGGAGGAACTGGCCGCCAGCCGCTCCAGCCGGGCCCTGCTCTCGTACTAGGAGAGAGGAGAGGGCCGTCAGGCTCCCTGCAGGGAGCGCAGCAGCAGGAAAAGGCTCCCCAAGGCGCTGCTTCCCCTAGGCTCTTTTCTCCCAGTTACTGTAACTGCCAGGCAGGGTCCTGGGGACGGCACAGGCAGCCAAATCCACTGTGACATCAAGGCCATGTGAGCGGTGCAGGGGGAGAGGCTAGATCTGTGCTGCGTTCAGCCAGCTGCCAGGTATCGCACTATTTTAGAACCGAGCCTGAATGCTATCAACCTTAACTGAAAAAGGCTTTTGCAGTGCTGAGGGCCGAACCTGGGGCCTCAGGTGTGCCGGCAGGTGCTGAACCACCGAGCTACCCCCAGCCCTGCCAGGGACTTGAAAACAAAGCAGATTTTACGGGTGGGGGAACACACAGGAGGCCATTCTATTCTGAAAATGATGGTATTGCTGTGAAATGAAATCTGCAGAGTGGGGTCCAAGAAGCCTCGAGAACAGGGACGTCTAAGAGTGTGGCAGACAGAGCTGCGCCTCGCAACCGCCTGGCTGGGACCTTCCACCCCCGCCACAGCCCCCAGTGCAGCAGGCCTCCTCGGCACGGCCCCAGAGCAACCCGGACATAACGCAGCCGCCCACAAACCAACTGTGTTCCCCATTTCACGATGGCTAAAGATTATCAATGAATTACAGCTGTATCAAAAATCACCTGTCATTCACTCAAACACTGAGGGGAAGAGAAAGGAGGCCCAGCCTCTGCCGCCCAGCACTTGTCTTGCTGAAGTGGCCGGCGATGAGTGGTCAGAAAGGCCTCGCTCCAGTTCTGGCTTGGGCACTCAGCCTGGGGCCTTGGCAGCAGCCCCTCTGTCCCCACCCCCAGGCCTTCTTCCTGCCTTGTGGGGTTCCCTATGAAGGAACTCTCTGGACCTTACATCAGCCTGGGCTTGTCTTCCAAAGTACATGTCTGATGAAATGGCCTTGACGTTACCAAACTTCTTCTGGGCCTCATCTGTGCTCTCAATGGGCTCATAGTCAGGCTTGCGACGAGCAGTAGTAGCTCTACAATTACAATAGTCAAAGGAGTTAAACCAACCTGTGAGGCAGAAATCGCTCTCATCTGTAGAGTGCACATAATACAGTTTATAATTTAAAAATCTAATAGCAGCAATTTTGTAAAAGAACTCAAGGTTACTTTAAAAAGTCTGAAAATTCTAATAAAAAAATCCAAACAATAAAACATTTAAAGGAATTCCTGCCTAAAACAGGTCTGTTGTTTCTTTTCAGTTCTGACGTGTAATTGCGCATATCGGACATGACACTGCATACACGGTGTGTGGTGCAGGGAGGGTGCCCACCCCCAGGTGCCTAGACCACCTCTGCTTACACACAAAGGGCCCCTGGATGGGACAATAAATTATACGGTCCTTCATGATCTCTAACAGCTAGAGAGTCCTGTAGCAGGTGAAGGATAAGCAACCTTGGAGATAAAGAGGGAGACACAGCCTGATAAGTTGCAGCCAAACACCTGAGGAGAGTTACGCAGGCCGGACAGGAGGGGCCACCACTGGGCCCATTCACACAGCATCCTGAGAAAGCCAAGGGCAAACCAGGGTACCAAGGCTGTCCACACAGGGCAGCAGGGGCTGGGGGAGGGGGAAATGTTCTGTTCATTGCCTTCGGCGGCCAGTATACAACCGTACATGTTTGCCAAAACCTGCACAACTGTAACCTAAAAAGACGAGAGGTGTGGCTCAGGCCTGTCATCCCAGCAACTCAGGAGACTGAGGCAGGAGGACTACAACTTAGCCCATCTCGAGCAAAAAAAAAAAAAAAGGAAAAAAGAAAGAAATGGGAAAAGTGATGCATCTTGGTCCAGACCACCCAGGGCCTTGGGCTGGGAATCCCAGGGAAGAGGCCTCCTCCTGTGTCTGTCTGAGATCCATAGGTGAGTCTGTGCCTCCAATGAGAATCACTCATTTCACATAAAAAGGAGACTTAAGAGAGACAGGCTTCAGGGACAGTGCTGCAGAAGGTCTCCATGCCTCCCCTCCCCTCCCCTCGCCTAGTGTTCCCCGCTGCATGTGTCCCCATGGCAACCCGGGGCTGTGCTCATACCTGTCTGAAGAGGCTGCACCTTTCACAACCGCCTCTGAGTCCCTGCTGCTCTCTTTCTTCCAGTAGGAATCTGCACTGTCATCCCAGCTGGATAAGGAACCGCCTCTTATCTCCATGGGGTCATCAAAGTACCTGCAGGAACAAGAGGGGACGGTGACATGGGAGGTCAGTGGGGACACCCACTCCAGTTGCAGTCTCTCATTTCCCTGCCCCACATGGCTGTGGCTGACAAACAGCAGCAGACACAAGGCGTCACTTCTAAGGCTTAAGGCTTTTCAAGCGCTGTGCTCAGCCCACCTGTCCCCCCTCTCCCTGCTACTGCAGGGACATAGCTGCGATTTCCACACGGATAACCTCAGGCAGGTGACCCTCCATCAGCCTGGACATCTGAGGCACCACATGGAAGATAGCTCCAGACAATCACCTGCACTGCAGCTGACTTGATGTGCACAGAAATAAACTGATGTGACGCCCTTGAGATTTGGGGCATGTTTACACCGCAGCATGACCTGGCCTCTCCAGGTAGCACATGACATTGCTCAGTGTTATCCTCCACTGGTCGGTCACATATTTCATTTTCTTTAAGTCTAGTTACAAGTAATGCTGCTTGGCCAGGGGAACTGACCCCACATCCCAGCGCATCCCAGCACAGCGCTGCTCAGAGTAGCCCGCGATGGCAGTGTCCTGTGTGGTCAGAGCAAGATTTGCCTGGAATAGGACTAGCCTGGAAGGCGAGGTAGACAGGACAGACCTTGATAAACAGTGACTGTGCTATGTCAGAGTCCATGGACAGACTGGCCCCCACACCGCAAGGGACTCTGAGGAAAGGCAGGTCCCAGGGCTCAGGGTTTGGAAGGCAGGTGAAGGGAATGCACCCTGCCTGTCCCCAGAGAGAGAACCAGGAGCACAGGAAGAAAGGCCAGTGCCAAGCTCCACCTTGAAAGGAGTTGCACAAAAGCTGGAAATGCCAGGCGCAGGGTGTGAGATGGGCAAGAGCGTGAGAGCCTGCAGGACCCACCTGCTGGGACCCAGGAAACAAGATCTGGGCGGAGGCACAGGGTGCAGGAACAAAGGCTCTTTTTTTTTTTTCCATAATGTTTTTTTAGTTGTAGGTGGATACAATACCTTTATTTTATTTATTCATCTTTTTATGTGGTGCTGAAGATCAAACCCAGGGCCTCACATGTGCTAAGCCAGCACTCTACCACTGAGCGACAGCCCCAGCACCCACAAAGCTCTTTCCAGGCAGAAAAAAGCAAAAGAGGGAGGCAGGATAAGACTGCTGTTGATGGGGCTGGGGATGTGGCTCAAGCGGTAGTGCGCTCCTCTGGCACGCGTGCGGCCCGGGTTTGATCCTCAGCACCACATACAAACAAAGATGTTGTGTCCGCTGAAACTAAAAAATAAACATCAAAAATTCTCTAAAAAAAAAGACTGCTGTTGAAGCAGGTGGTGCGACTTGTAAGGACTGTGGAGAAGGCTTCTGCCTGCCCTGGCAAGAGGGCACTAGGAACACATCATGTGGGCTGGGGCTATGGCTCAATGGTGAAGCACTTGCCAGCATGTGGGGGCCTGGATTTGATCCTTAGCACCATATAAAGATAAATAAAATAAAGGTGATGTGTCCATCTACAACTAAAATATATATGTGTATTAAAAAAGCAATAATAACAAAAAAAAACCACGTCTTGTTGCATGAGATTCCTCACCGCCGTGCCAGGCTCTGGCTTTCAGCTCGAAGGGCCCTGTGCTCCTGCTGGTGAGCAGTTCAGCATTGTGGGCCACAGCTTGGAGGAACAAAGACAACCCATCTTCAGAAAACAGAGAACAGAACAATGAAGGGATTGGAAGTCACATCAGAGGAAGGGTCCAAAGATGTGGGACACATCCTGGCCTGGAGAGAGGCCCTCCCATGTTTGACAGACTGCTTTTTAAGGAAGACAGACCAATTCAATGAGAAAATGACAAACCACTCAACGAGCACTTAGGAGGGCGGGTACTCTGCTAGGGGACCCAGGTGACTTATGGGGCCTTTCTGCCTGCTCTCATGGGGCTCAGGCCCTGGTTCAGAGAGAGGCTACTGTAAGCTCAGAAACCCAGGGAGCATGTGAGCAGTGCTTCTTCCTGAGCTGCTCCGAGGACGGAGAGTCCATAGGAGGCTGGGTGGCCCTGGAAGGTGCACAGGGGCCTGGGCATGGAGGCTGGAACCTTCTGGTTCTTCACAACACTGAGATTGAGGCACTTACAATTGCAGACTTAGCATCACTCTAAGGAACTAACGCTTTCTTCACACAGCCGAAGTGCTCTTCTTAGAGCGGAGGGCACTGGGCGGTTTCTAAATGGCTGAACTATCCAGGTCAGGAGGCAAGAGAAAGCCACTGCGTGGGTCTCCTGACCAGCATGGCTCAGGCAGCAGCAGCCACAACAGCAGCTTCTCTTCCTACCACTCACCACGAGCAGCACTCTGTGCTCTGGCAACTCGCAGGGGACAAACATCCAGCCAGGCCTGAGCTGCCCTGGGAGGATGGGAGAGTAGGACTGTGTCTCTCCTGGGTACTCAGCAGCCCGGCTCCAGCCTCACTGGTGTCCCCTCCCTGCTCCATCTTTGGTGTCTGCCCTCACACAGTGTCCTCACTCCACCCGGAGCACTCTCCCCAGAGCCCTTGCTGAGAGCCCCTGCAGGCACACTGGTAGAGGCCGAGGAGCCCTTTGGCTGCACAAAGTGCTCCCTGCTCATTTTGAACTCAGTATGTAATTGCATTGTTTATGTCCTGGAAATAATGGAACTCACTAAAGCTCAAAACCCAAGGATGGGCTTGATCTTATTTTTAATAGAAATGACACTCCTTTATAATTCATAATCTGCAAGTTCTAATGGCTAATGAATAATTTGGAAGCAGTAAGAGCTCTTCGTGGCACTAAAATGCTGGATCTCAGAGTCTCTGTGTGCCAAAGAACCTAACTAATAGTGCCACGCTTGACTAACAGTGGTCACCTGCTCACAGAGAACTAGACAGACATTTATGTCCCTGGACAACCCTAGGGTCACAATAAACAATGCTCTAGGGTCTCTCTGGTGGGAGTCCAGGCAGCCTGGTCTACAATAAAACATCGAAGGCTCCCAGGTTCAAAAGGTAAATAACTGCCCCAGGGCAACAAGGGCGGACTCTTCTGTCTAGAGCCCTGAAGGTCCCCAAGGCCACCACCTGGGGCCATGAGGATGGGGGCTCCCAGTCAGCAGGTGAGCCCACTTGGGGCCCTTCAGCCAGGCTGCTACCAGGTGACAGCAGGGTTCACCTTGAAATTTGCTCCTTACTTCCTACGCCACCATCTGCAGGCATCAGTGAGCAGTGAGATTACCACAAGGCGCGAGCAAGTCAAAGGGGCAAATGCCAGAACCTCCTCCCTGGCTGAACACCTATTCCTGAAGTGGCCAGCGAGCGCACAGCTTCCAAATAAAACTGCAAATTTAATTTCATCCTGTACAAAAGTATTTAAATGCTTTTAAAGGGCATGATTTGGATATAATCCCCAAGTAAACTGAAACCTGGTGCTTTACACAGGTCATAAAAATAGGTAAACATAAACCATGCAGGTCCCTGAAACTAATATGGGAGGCTGTTTTTTTTTTTTTTTAAACGGGGATTTGAAATAGTGTTAGAGACAGCAGTCTTTTACAAGTCCTTTTCTTCACGCTTTGATAGGGAAATAAATAAT